TTATATGTATCTTACGTGTTTTATTTTTATTTTATTAGTCTGGATTGGGATTATGTTTTAGTTGGGGTACACGTATGTGATCCGGTAACTATTGTATTTATAGCATGGAGTAATAGTGCTATGTGCGCTAGGATTCTTGAGCATGTGGTCATAGGATGTGGTAAATATACATGAGTTTAGCCAACCTTTTGGACTTGGACATGTAGCATTTTGGTATGCTATATGGGATGGGATAGTTAAACTTTTGATACGTGTCAACTATCTTAAAATGATTAGTTTGATATGCTTCACACTAGATAGGGATTTGTTTTTTTTGTAACACCCTGAGATTGGTGGATGTTATTATAATTATATCCATGGGGTTCTGGTAGATAAAGACCATTGTCATGCCACCATGATTTGTGAAAGGTGTTGGAGGTGCAAAATATCTTCAGAGAAATTTCTGAAGCGACCACCAAGTCGAGAGGAGGAGTTCGTGTTGGTGGATATTTATTTGAATGTCGTCAAGAGATGAGGGTGGACTGATTAAATATTTATCAGTCTATTCGTAATTAAGACACGATTCATGAGAGTGTCATTTGGATGGGTTGCTGGTGTTGCACTTAGAGGAGGAATCTAAGTTTCTACACTGAGAATAAAATGTGAAAATTTTTAGGGTCTTAATTTGCGACAATTTGTTGTTTCTCGGACATTAATGATTATACGGAGAATGGGAAAAGTTTCATATTTGTTTGGAACGAAACAAAGAGTCAAATTGACACTACTTATATTAAGCAAGTAGGGTGTGTCAAAGATAGGATGGTGAAACCGATCACCTATCACAAGGAAGCGGTGCACGGTGTATGTGAAAAAGGTCAGAGTAAGTTGACTTTCGATGATTGGAATTTCCGGTTGATTTTATGATCGGTAAGTTTATCACTAATTGGTATTGTATTGGTTTAGCTGCAGGGTTAGCTTTTGACGATGCTCCAAATTAAGTATTGGATTCAGACAGAAGTTGGTGGTACCAGACTAATGGTACTTTTGGTAGATGGAAAAGAGAGTAGGCCTAGTCAGGGGTGGATAATTGGTTGAGATCATCAAAATTTATTGGAAGTTTAATTTCCTGTGGATTAAGAGTGGTGGATTGAGCAAGTTTGTTGCTCGCCCAAATTCTAGTAATGTTCACTTTTGGACTTCGCAATAGGTCCTCATTGCATTGCTAACGGAGGTATAACTGTGTTGCATATCTCTCGATGGAGGATCGGAACGAGAGGGTACATTTGATCATGAAAGAGATACTTGGGATAGATATCCTAGGTTTTTATGGGAAGTTGGAAGTGTTTACTTCATTTCTTATCTTGATGGCACCGGAAGGTTTGTGTGACCACCTTTGGGGTTTTATATATTAATAGAGTAAACCTCTTACCTGTTGGTTTGGAATGGCAGTATAGGTTGTATAATCAGACCCTGGCTTCCTTAAAAGATACATCGGGGAGAAATACTCCCCTTTATAATGGATTGCGTGTGGTTAGGCGGTGGTAGTACGATTTTGTAAATCGGTCACAGCAGGGGACTGTAGGGTAATGAGCAGGGGAATTGAGCCCAAGTTTGCATATGGTTGGTTTGTTTGGGTATTATTTGTAGATGCCGACTGTTTTCTCTTTGTCAGGGTAACAAAAAAAATAAAACATATTTCTTTTTGGGCCCTAGCCACGTTACTGATGTGGGACTCATCACTCATCGTGTGGATGATGAGAATTAGTGTCTCTACAGAGTGGACCATATTCTAGTGATGTGCCACTGATTTTTTTATGCATTTAAAATACTTTTTGTGATTTCAAAAGCAACTCAAATTAACTCAAAATATTTATTTATTTTAAATATTCAATTTTTGTACGTTAAAACGCTCCAATAATTCCAAAACTATATTGATTGAGGTATTTTCATTTAAAGATTTAATTTTTACTCATTAAAATACTAACGGTCCAGAATCATCTAATATTTTCTGGACCATAATAAAATACAATACATATGGTATTTCCGTCCAATGTAAATTCAAATTGCATGCATCGTTGTATTCATGCCTATTTAAATTCATATATCACCTTCCCTAAGTCCCTATTTAGTGTTCGGAACCTTAAATAATCAATTCGGAGTCAAGCAAAACATTTTTACCCAAAAACACCAGATAGTGTTCAAGCGCTGTCCTTAGTGTGCTCGAGCACTATCCCAATACTGTTCGAGCACTATTTCGGAAACAGCTCGAGAAGTCCAATTTTCAGCCATATTCTCCATTGTTAAGGTCCTAAAGTATGTTACTAAGTCCCATAAACATCCAAGTACGAATTTATATCATTATAACATGTAGAAATCCATTAAAAATCAGATCTAAGTCATGAATTTACCAAATCATATATCAAGAACAAATATGAACATAAACCCATAAAAACCTATGCTCTAGATCAATTTAAACATGGATTCAGATGTTAATAACCTTTAATCATCCCTAAAATTATACTAGAGATATATAGATCACATACTCAAGGGAGAAGTGTAGAACAAAGATATATAGATCACTCATTCTTCCTTATTCTTATTCTCTAATGCCGGCAGCCTTCGGGTTACCATTGTCCACTCTGATGATCCTTCTTCTTCTTCTTCTTCCTTCTCTCTATTCCTCTTATATATATATATATATATATATATATATATATATATAACACAAATCTTATACCTAACATACGTCTGACAATCTCAAACTAATATAATAAATAATTATTTTTAATGAACATAATATAAATATATATATACACCTCATTATATATATAACTACTAATCTCCATGGATCACTATCCAACCCATTTAGGATCCCACTCAAATAGTCCAAGACCATATAATTGGTCCACGAGCGCGCTATACCCCAAAGCCATAATCTTTTAATATAAAATAAAATAAAATAAACAAACAACTTAACTAATCAATTAAACACTTCAATTAATTAAATTAAATTAACACATACACATTTAGTCAAGATTAATTAATTCAAATTAAACCAATTATTAATTTAATAAAACAAATAATCAAATAAATACACAATTAAATAGAAAAGCAAATAAATAAATAGTCACATAATTAAATAAAATGTAATTAAAATAATTAAATAATTTTTTAGAAATTAAAGGTATTACAAGGTGGCATTCCATGCCCTAAACGCCAACCCTAAGCAAAAATGGAATGATAATTGCCTTTTCGTATTCAATGATAATTATCTTTTTCATTTTTTCTCTCTATCATATCTTATATTCTCTCAAAAAATTACTTTCATAATAAAAAAAAAATTTCAAATTATTAGTGATGTAGCCACCTCATTACCACCTAATTAATTATTTTTGTGATAGAATTATTTATGATGTTTAACATCTTCCTATCACGTAATGGTCCACATATTTAACAATTAAAAGGCGATTTACAAATATCGCTAGCTATTAGAACTGAAAAGCAACTTGTGGAGGATCTTTAGCGTGAGATGCTCCAAAATAAATAAATAAAGAAAATTTGTGGCTAGACGTTATAAGGTGGGGCTCATTTGTGGCTGGACGGTGTAAGGTGGGGCTCGTAAAAAAAACACAAGGAGTAAAAATGTTGACTTATCATGTTTCTTTTTTTGGTGCGTGTAACCAATGTCTCATCAATTCATCACGTGAATCATACTCTAAGTCGAATTTTTAAAAACTAAAATAAATATGCTCCACATATTGTGATAGAATATACTTTCATAATAAAAAAAAAATTTCAAATTATTAGTGATGTAGCCACCTCATTACCACCTAATTAATTATTTTTGTGATAGAATTATTTATGATGTTTAACATCTTCCTAGCACGTAATGGTCCACATATTTAACAATTAAAAGGCGATTTACAAATATCGCTAGCTATTAGAACTGAAAAGCAACTTGTGGAGGATCTTTAGCGTGAGATGCTCCAAAATAAATAAATAAAGAAAATTTGTGGCTAGACGTTATAAGGTGGGGCTCATTTGTGGCTGGACGTTGTAAGGTGGGGCTCGTAAAAAAAACACAAGGAGTAAAAATGTTGACTTATCATGTTTCTTTTTTGGGTGCGTGTAACCAATGTCTCATCAATTCATCACGTGAATCATACTCTAAGTCGAATTTTTAAAAACTAAAATAAATAAATAAAGAAAATTTGTGGCTAGACGTTATAAGGTGGGGCTCATTTGTGGCTAGACATTATAAGGTGGGGCTCGTAAAAAAAACACAAGGAGTAAAAATGTTGACTTATCATGTTTCTTTTTTTGGGTGTTAGCCGCGTAACCAATTTCTCATCAATTCATCACGTGAATCATACTCTAGTGAAATTTTTAAAAACTAAAATAATTATCGTGATTTCAGAGGGAACTGTAATAAATTTAACTCAATTTTTTTATTTTTTATTTTATTTTTTTTACCTTAATTGAGATATTTTTTATTTATTAAAAACTCTCTTAGTGATTTATAAGAGAATTGGAATAAGTTTAACTAAAATTTTCATTTTTTTTCAAAGATTCAATCTTTATATATTAAAACGCTTTAGTGGCTTCAAATTAAGTTAAGATATTTTTATTTAAAAAATTAATTTTTACTCATTAAAATACTAATGGTCATAATCATTTAATAATTTCTGTTAATTTATACTTTTTCTTGTACAATGAAGTGTACGAGAAAGTATATAATATATTTGGTAGAAATAAAAATTATTAATAGTAAAATTTCTTTTCTTTTTCCCCCTAATTAATAGTAATATTTCTTTTCTCTCTTATGTATCTACGAACACCAAAGTGCTTTAGTGTAAGAAAAAGTATATAATACAAATGGTATTTCCGTCCAATGTATAGCCATGCTGGTGAGTTGGAGAGGATCTGCCGTTCAAACATATCCATGCTGCTGAACAGGAGAGGATCTGACGTTCAAAACAACCAACCTGTAAGACGTCACATTCGAACATCACTCCACTTCTCTCTATAAATATACATGCGTATACATACAAGTGTGCATTACAAATTTACATAGCCCTCGTATTTTCTCCCATCTTGAAATGGCGTCAAGAAATAATCCTAGGAACTGCCAGACCCAAACTTTTCGCCCTTTAGCAAACTTCGAGCCTAGTTTATGGGGTGATTGTTTCAGTTCATTCTATTTTGATAACCAGGTATTTAACAGTTTTGTTATATATATATATATAGTTTCAGCCATGCATTGTGTGTTGTGTGTATATATATATACATGATCAGAGAGAGAGAGATACCCCTAATGATGGCAAAATAAATTTATCATATGGATATGATAGATTGTTTTCACTGATACATGTTTCATGTGATAATAATGCATTAATTCCAAGATCATATCAGTGGGTGTGTGTGTGTGTTTTTTCCCCCCTATATACGCAAGTTGCTTTTACTGATCACTTTATCTCGTCTCTAGTGGGATACAGAAAGCTATGGTTATCAAAAACTTCCTTCTCAAGCTTTTATCACTCGTTTTTCTCAGTTGGCTGGGTTATGGGAAGCTGTTGCTCGCGTAAAATTCATTATGTAGCATATATATATATATATATATATATATATATATATATATATATATATAATTTGGTCGAAAACCGTTATTAATTAAACATGTTGAACACTGACACTTTTCATTCACTAATTTATACTATACATGTATATCTTGACAACATTCAATACTTAGATATTATTTCAATCTACTTTTCCCATAATTACACTTGGGTATACATCAACACAACCGATCAACCTCTTAGAAATTAATAACTCTTTTTCCGGTTACTATGGGTAGAGTTAATAAAAATATATATGAAAACGCAAGTGATCTAGTTGACAGAGACCGTGGCCTTAAATAAAGCGAAATAGAAATATAGAATTTATGTAACAGACTCTAAAAATTTGAAAAAAGACTTAATTGTTGTTGTTGCTGTTGTACTATGTACATCTTTTTTCTATTCATTAATGGTCACAGTTCGATATATAGAGCTTGAGCTTGAAAACGAGCTCTATACTTCTTTGAAGGGACCAGGAAATTGAGTGAGGGTGAGCAATAGTAGGGGATTTTTATTTTTTATTTTTAATTTCGGGGAAAATACTTGGACAAGTAACTGGTAGTACATCAAAAGAACTTTTTTTTTTTTTTGTTTGCTCGAGAACTTCTGATGAACGGCTCTATATCTATATAATTAAATTTGCTGTCTTTGCATATAACGCAGGCATATGAAATGTATTCTAAAGAGATTGAACTGTTGAAAGAAGAAGTGAGAGGTATGCTACTAAATGCAGAAAGTAAAGCAACAGAGAAAATGAAATTGATCAACACACTCGAACGCCTTGGTATCTTCTATCACTTTGAGAAAGAGATCGAAGAGCAGATCAAACAAATCTTTCACTCCCATGCCCACTTTCAAAATATTGAAGACTACAATGATTTGAGCACAACTGCTCTTCATTTTGGAGTATTTAGACAACATGGTCATAACATATCTTGTGGTAAGCCCCTCATGGATCACTTACGTATATGTTTATTGGAGTATAAAAGTATGCAATTCACAACTTATGATCCTTAGAGATGGCTGATATGGTGTTGTATGTTCTGAAACAGATGTCTTCAACAAATTTAAAGACGGCGACGGTAAATTCAATGAAAACCTTACTAGGGATGTAATGGGGATGCTAAGTTTGTATGAGGCTGCACATTTGAGGATTCAAGGAGAAGATATTCTCGATGAGGCTCTTGCTTTCACAACCACTCACCTAGAGTCCATGGTAACTCGTGAATTAAGCCCTCTTCTTGCAAAGCAAATTATGCATGCCCTAAAGCAACCCCTCCACAAAGGCATCCCAAGATTAGGGGCAAGGCATTACATCTCTATCTATGAAGAAGACTCTTCTAAGAATGAATTGTTACTGAAATTTGCAAAGTTTGACTTCAATCTGTTACAATTGATGTACAAGCAAGAACTATGCCACATATCAAGGTATGTGCTTGTATATTTATATCTATCTATCTATGTATCTATATATATATATACACACACACACACACATAGGATGCAATTGGTGCAAATCTAATTTATCTTTTGTATCAATATATGTACGAAGGTGGTGGAAACAATTGGACTTTGAGTCAAAACTTTCTTATGCGAGGAGCAGAGTGGTTGAGTGCTATTTTTGGGCTATGGCAACATTTTCTGAACCTCATTACTCCCTTGCAAGGGTCATGCTCACAAAGATTATGGCAATGGCATCAACTATGGATGATACATATGATGAATATGGTACACTTGAAGAACTCAAACTTTTTACCAATGCAGTCCAGAGGTATATATACTTTCTTAGCCCTCATAACATTTTTGTTTTGATCAGAGAGAGACAAGAGTTGATGAATCCCAAGTCAATGTTCTTTTTGTTGTTCAACTAACTAAGTTGGAAAATTAATTGGATGAATTTGGAAATGGCGTGTTTAACTTTTAGGTGGGAAACAAGTGCCATTGATCAGCTCCCAGATTACATGAAGATATTCTATAGAGCTCTCCTAGATCTCTACGAAGAATTCAACAAGGAAATGACAAAGCAAGGAACATTATACAGTGTCCATCATTCAAAAGATGCAGTATGGCTTACCTAAGCTCTTTTAGTTCAAAATTGATCGATATCAATACATTTCCTTACCTATCCAGAAACAAAAACATAATTAAATAAATTTATGTCATGTGATATATATGGTGAGATATACCAACAAATAATGGGTATTATATATCAAAAATATATATCATGATATATAGTGATACTCTTTTAGGTTTTAAAAAGGGACTCTTAATTTCTATTCAATTCATATCCATTTTAATTTTAATATTTATGTGGTATGATAAGGTGAGATGTTCTTTTGTTGTATCTTATAACAGTTTCAAGAACTGGCGAGGAGTTACTATACCGAGGCCAAGTGGTTCAATGAAGGATACATGCCATCATTTGATGAGTACATATCTAACGCCCTAATCAGTAGTGGTTATTACCTCCTCGCAACGTCATCCTTTATGGGCATGGGAGCAATTGCTACCACTGAGGCATTTGAATGGCTACAAAATAAACCCAAAATTATTGTAGCTATTACTACAATTGCTAGGCTAATGGACAACATAGTAGATCATGAGGTAAAGCCACATAAACATATATTACTGAAGCACAAATCTATGCAAGCAAATTTTCATAAATGTTGCATTTGGAAACATCGAATTTGTGCCTTGGAATCAAAATTGAAGAAAATTTAGTTTGAACAAGTTAACGTTTATGAATCTTTTTAACATTTGAAGGAAGAAAAGAAGAAGGGAAACACTGCTACGGGGATTGAATGCTACATGAAGCAGCACGGCATATCAAAGAAAGAGACAACTGATGAGTTCTATAAGAAGATTGAAAATGCATGGAAGGACATCAATGAGGAATGCCTAAAGCCATCAAACCCCGTCTCGATGCATCTCCTAACCAGAATTCTCAACCTTGCTCGTGTAATGGATGTCTTTTACAAGTTTGAAGATGGGTACACTCATCCGGAAAGAGGGCTGAAAGATCACATTGTGTCAATGTTCGTTGATGCCATACACATATGATCAGCATGCGCAATTTGTGTTTAATTGCATGAAGTTTGGTTAAGCATAGATTTGGTGTACTTAAATAAGTTTCAGGGTTTGTGTTTATCTCGTCTATTAATTAGTATATTTCTTTCGGTTCATGAATAGTTTGAAGTTCGTTTATTGTAATGAATTGTGTATGTGCCCTTTTGGCGTTGTTGTTGTAATTATAAAAGCGCTTTTATGAGTAGAGTTGTCATAAAAGTGCTGTCAATAAAAACATGTTAGGTGTTTGGTGATGCATTATATAAAATACTTTTTATATTTAAAGCAGTGTTAAATTTGTTTGGTAATAGTATTGATTAAAACACTTTTATTATTAATTTTAGTGTATTACCCATATAATAATAAACCCATACAATAATAAAGTGTGCATAAACCAAATGCAATTTCATTCTCTTAACTCAGTAGCTATACGTTTTTATAGAGGATTCTTAACAAATAAAAAAATATAAAATCTTCAGATATTGCGAATGTCTTTGAAAAATCCAAAGTTATAATTTTTTAGATTAATGTAATTTACAAAATATTTATAATTTAGAATCTGATAATTAAGGTAAATGTAAAATTGCGTTATAAATGTAAAAAATAGAAAATTGGGCTATAAATATTGAAAGTAGATTGGAAATGAAATCAGGCTAGCAATAATAGTCCTCATAATATTTCAATAATTATGTTTAAATGTTATATATATATATATATATATATATATATATATATATAATAGGTAATATAGGTATTATACGATGAGAAAGTCCCAACTAAACACTATTATTTACTTATACATTACTATCCTGATAGTTTATATATATATATATTTATTTATTTATTCTTGTAGAAAATAGCCTTGTAATTATGAAAATGAAGGAGGGTTATATTGTACAAAAAAATATTAGATATCAGACTCTACTCAACGCAATTTTGAACGCTCCGATTTCCAACTTTATCAAAACGCACTTTTTTTTATTATTAAACCTCTACTTCTAAAAGTGCGTTTTTTATTTACCAAACAGTGCTGAAAGCAATTTTTCAAATTCAACGCGCTTTTACAGACTTCAAATGCAATCCCAAACGGGCTCAAAGTACTCGTGTAATCTTTTATATTTTTTCATTAAAAAGGGTAAGTTGTATAAGGAAATTTGTTCAAATAAGGGAGTCATACCATGATTTGGCTTCCCGTTAACCCATTGATCTCTCAGTTAAGAAGCACGGATATAGACAGGGGATACGGATACGACACGATATGAGAATGAATATAAACCAAATTTCAAAAAAATAGAATAAGGATATGCAATAAAAAAATTAATAAATTATATATATATATATATATATATATATATATATATATATTAATTTTTGATCATTTTTTTTTTTTTTTGTTGGTAAAAACTATTATGAGTCTAAAAGCAATCATTAATATAACATAAAAGTTCATTTCACAACACATAAAATAAGTATCACTAGGCACTTAATAAAATTTTAACTTTTCTTAACAATTATATTTTGTTATTATTGTTGAAAAAATTACATTTTAATGTTCAAACTTTTTAAAAATGTGTTATGAAGTATCTGAAAAGTGTCGGATACACAATTGAAATATCTAAAAAGTGTTTGAAAAATATTAAATACATATTAAAAATTAAGAAATTATTTTAAAATTATGGATACGTTTAAAGAGTACCGGATGCGTAACTTTTCCGTAAGTATCCGTGGAATATCACTATATCGGTTTTGGTACGAGTACGTCACTCTCTTAAAAGTATCCATCCTTCCTAATCTCCCAGCTAAGTCCCATCTTATGATTGTTCATTCATGCTAAAGTTGTAGGAGGAGTGTTAGCCAATAAATACTGAAAATTTGACTAATCTCATTTTTTTAAACCCAATAAATAATGGAAAATATTTAATAATATTAGTGCCATTAGTCCTTCTGGTTACAAAATAGAGTAAAATTTATCTACACCCATAATTAAATCTAATCATATCCCAAAAGATTAATACATGATCAAAAGTTATACTCCGTATATAATTCATGTGTTTGTAAACACGTGACTTGAAACAATTGTAAAAAGAGAGGAAATCAAATCCATTTTAAGCTATCCAACAGAAATTGCAACTATGGATCCAAAGTCGCAAGTGCAACTGTGTTTAGTAGTCCTCAATTAAAAAGGACAACATTTAGATAGTATGAAATGATTGACTCGAGACCATTGATCTTTATTAATTACTATAAAAAAACCGAATAAAAATTTGCATATTTCTGACATAATTATTGACATGTCGAATGATATTGTATTAACTTACTTATTTATTTATTTATTATTATTATTATTAATTTTCCCTTTAGAGTACGTGTTTCGACCCCACAACTTACTTATTTGGTTATTGAATTATTGTGATGATAAATTTTTAGATGGTTCGAATCAGTCGCCGTAAAATAAAAATTTACCCATTATGACATAATTGCTTAAGGGCCTGTTTGGGAGGTGTTCCCATATGTTTTGTAATGTTCCAAGCCCGCTACAGTAGCTGTTACAGGGCTAAATTACACCACGAATTTTTGCCTCTGTAATGGCACTTGGGGCCACCAAGTCTCAGCCAACACAACAACACAATACACATAGTATAGAAATGTTAAGAAGGCACACACAGTTTACAGGGACAAGCCCCAACCTTTGCTCATATTAAACATATTACAAAGGAACATGAGTTCGTACAAGGAACAACCAAGGCTCACACCCTCCTCTCTGTCTCCTCTACAAAGCCCACCTTAGCATTATATAGGCCACTCTCAAAACCGCCCATAACTGCCCACTAAGATGATGGATGACACCCACATCCACCTAGGGTCGTGCTGGCACCCTCTAAATGTGCCAGCACTATAGTAGTTGACAAGCCCAACTGCTAGACTTGTTGGCATGTTTTGCTCATGCCACATAACCACAAGAAGTTACATTCTGCATAGTGGAAGAAACCACCCTTAACCGCCTATGTGTTGGTCCTCTCAGAATTGTGCCACATACTTGGGAGGTTACTCAGCACTCCCCCACTTCCCATGATGAGTGGGAAGTGCTAGTAACTTCCCCCAACCGACCGAGACCACTAAGCCACCACCTCTTGTAACCGCAAGCCATGACTTTGTGTTGTCTATGCTCTAGCCACATCTGAGTCAACCTTGTGAACCTAGCCTAAGTCCACCAATCTACACCCACATATATATGTCTCTGAGTGCGCGGCGTGCCAAGCCATGCACGCCCGTGCGCACGCTCGGGTGCATGCCAAAGTGCACGCCGGCGCACACACTAGTGCCCTTTTACGCGCGCCATGTTTGAACCCTCATGCGCCCGTGGCTGTACGCCTGCCTGGACGCCCATGCGCACGCCGAGCTAGACGCTCGCGCACACTAGGTTGGACGCCTGCCCGCGCGCCCACCTGCATGCCCGCACGCGCGCCGTTGCACACCAGTGCGCGTGTCGGTGCCCACTTGTTTGCCCTTCAATATCTTGGATGCTCCCCACTTGTGCAACCATCTTGGAGTGGTGCAACACGTGCCCATGCACATTGGCTAAGCCCTCTAAACAAGCCATGCCATAGCCCAACCGATGTGCTCAACAGACCCCTCCCTGGTATAGTCTTAAGGAAATCCAGTACTCTGATAGGAGTAGACATCACCCATGCTTGAGGAGTCATATTATGCATAAATATAATAATTATTATTATTTGAGGTTAATTAATTAATTATATAAATATAATTAATTAATAATTATTATGGATATATATATATATATATATATATTATATTTATATATATTATATTTATGGATATATGTGCATATGGTTTAATTATTTAAGGAAGGAAGTATAAATATAAATTATATATAATATATGTGTATTTGTGTGTGTGTGTGTGTATATATATATATATATATATATATATATATATATATATATATAATATGTGTATATATATAACATAATATATGTGTATATATATTTATATTATTTTATTAAATAATGATTATTATTTATTCAATAGTCATACTAGTAATAGGATTATGGTTATGTGTATAAATATACACATAAGGTTTTATTGTGAAAAGTTTCCATGTTAGAAAAATAAGAAAGACAAAGAGAGAAAAAGAAGGGCTAACAAAGAGGAGGCCGGATCAGAGAAAGAAGAGGCCAGATTTGGAAAAGACAGGCAAGTTCTTCTCTACTTCTCCTTTTAGGACTCATAAGCCCATCACCTGATTATCGAAATTATAGTTTTATGTTATTTATTTATTTAATTAATTTATTAATAGGATTATATGAGCATGTTTAATCATTACAAAATTATAGAATTAAACATGTGAATATATGTATGCATTGTTTTGATAATTTAAATCTTGTGTGTGAGGTTAGGTTAATTAAATTTTATTTTTGAAATTTTTATAGTTTGCTTTAACCTTGTGTAGCATGATTAATTAAATTAAATTGATCTTAATTTAATTATATATGTTCATTTATGCCCAAAGTAATAAATAAAGATTTTCTGGAATTAATTTATATTTTTAATGTAATTTTAGAAATTGTTTTATATATACTGTTATATATATATAAACATACTGGGGCTAGATTCAAATCGGTGCATCTTCAATGGGGTATAATCCAGTGCGTCGCAGTACATGGTATTATGGTGTGCTGCGGATCAGTAGTGTGGATGGGGCTTGATCAAAGGGAGGCTGATCTTGTGTGTTGCAGCTCAACGCGCTATGGTGAATGCGTGAATCAGAGCTATTGATGGCGACTTGATTATTGGAAGCGGATTCGATGTAGGCAAGCTCACCTGGACGCAAGGGGAGGACCAATGGAGGCACGCCAGCACACCTAGAAGGCTCACATAGGCGTATGAGGGAGCGTGTAGGCGCGTGGACGCGCCTGCTAGTGTGTCTATGTGCGTGGGGGCACGTGCAGCAAGTGGAGGCACGTGTGGCGGCTCATGGGGGGCGAGTGCAGGGGTGTTTGATGTCCTGGTAAGGTCCTGTGAGGTCCAGTGAATTTTCAGATTTTATTTTAAGTCTGTTATGGTTGAAATCAACCACTAGATGAGATATTCTTAGGGTTTTAAGAGCCGTTAAGTGTTACTAAAATAGTAGCATTTATTTACGTAAAATAATTAATTAATAATTTATTATGAAAGGAGGTATATATGTATATATATATACAATTATTTATATATATACATGTATATT